CAATAATAACTATTTTAAAAGTATATATGTATGTATGTATATTACAAACTCTATAGAATGTATCAAAGAATGAAATACATAAAAAACTATAATCAAGCCCTTACTAACGTCAGCATGCAACATTTTATCAATCAAGAAAATAAGCTGTAGATCAGGAGATCTTTTTTTATAAGACCCCGGAGAGTTAATATATCTATCAATACACACGACACCAAAACAGCTCAGCGAATCACAGATCGATAACACATTACAAGAAATGCTATATAAAGAAACACAACACAATAATATAGGTTCTCTGTTCATTGTACACTGTCATAGATATAAGTATATATTTAATAAATAAAGAAACAGTTCTTCATTGGACTTAAAATATATTCATAAATAAAGAAACTAACTCGCACAATTAAGCAAGAATTCAAAATTAATTTTTTAATTTATTTTGTTAACTTACGCTTAATCTGCCATTCCAGCTTCATATTGTATGCCTTCCTGATCAGTAAGCAATTGTTGTTGCCTATTTTTTACCAGTCGGATCGAATTTTCTCCGAGATAATAGTGGTACCCCTCCAATTGTTATTCCAAGTAATCTTTTCATTCTTAAACTCTCTGCTCCGTCATTAAAAGTAGATACAGCAACATTGGTAGCTATTTCAACTACTCTCCTGAACTACCCTTGTGTGCAATCTTCCAAATCTTCGGATTAAGACTCTCATTAACATTCTATGTGAATCCACCTAACCACTTTTAATGTATTTGTTCGTCACTTAATGATTGATAGATGGGTTTTATTGCATGCAGTACAATTTCAGGTAAAGGGGCTTTGTGCTTGTATTCATCAATCGTACCTTTGGCTTTTGCTCTTTGCCAATCACACCAACTTTCTTCTCCAGGTGGACAATGAAAATGCTGAGGTTTTTCGTCCGTTGACGATTTATGGTAGAATGTCGTCCATATAGCATTTTTCTTATTTTGAGGTGAGTCAATATTATTTCTAATTGCCAAACCGTAATAAATAGTTAGCTTGTCAATTAGATTGGCAGTAAATTTTTCTTTTCCTCCCAAACTAACTTGTTTGACTTGATTCGATGTATTTGACTTTTTATTTGAAGTCGTTGGCTTCTCTTCTTTCGTGATTGACTTTGAGTTTTTACTGTCACTGACGACTTTGCGAAGACGCGACCCATACGTTTATGGGAAATGACCTACGCATTTTTTCTTCTTTACTTCAAAATCTTGATATGGCTGAGCATTCGTGATACTAGAAAAAGTTTTTGTATCACCGTCACTTATTTAGTATGCATATTTAACCCCATAATTTTCTAATGATCTCTGAAAGATTTCCACAGCACTATCTGGCTCCATTTTCCTAGAGCCACCTTTGCGATTTGCTGCACATTTTTCGTGATGATTTTCTAACCAAGATTCATACTCAGCCGTACCTTTGAGCTTACCGTGAATTTCGCACTCTTTGCAATATCTGCTTTTTAGAAAACAGTCGACAACTTTTCCGGAGAAATAACCAATTAATGTTGTGACTCCGAAAAACGAAGACAATCYTCTCTTCATCCAAGTGCCATCTCCGGATACGATAATTCCATTCCTAGATAATTGTAATTTATCTTGATTGGCAGATTCTTTAAGTTCTCCTTCCGCAGCAACTTTAATAGATGCTTTAGCGAAGGTTGCTGTAGCTTCTTCAATAATATTTGTAATTGAATTAAAAGTTGTTTGCGCGATACATGATGCTAAATCCATGACACCACAAAAAAGCTGCATTGCCTTCAATCCTTTTCCTAAAAGTCGGAAAGCGAATGTGAGGCGTCGATTTATCTCGTATGCAGTGTTTATCAATGGCAATAAAAATACACTATTGATATTAACGTCACACGCTGTACAAAAAATATTTAATTTGAAACCACGCCCATATGGACTTGCTTCTAAAAATTTAACGACGCCACCACATGTACGACATACTACACACTCCGAAATAGCTGCAAAAACGGCCTTGAACAGTAAAATACAGTATGAGAATATTGGATGGAATGAAACCTCATGTAATTGTCCCGATAATTTTTTTGYAGCCGAGCTAGTGTATTTTGTTTCACTCTCCATCTGATCTAGCCTCTGAGGAGGCTTCTTTTTTCTAGGACGTGAACATCGTTTACTTTTACTGCCTTTACGATCTATACTACGACAATTTAACATTTTCGAAAATCACAAAAAAGACACACAACTGTTCGCTTCGAATGACCAAAAACAACTAACCATTGTATAACCCTACAAGTAACAAAAGAATCAGCTGTTTTCCAAGAATTTTTCAAAGCGGAGATCACCTGATCGAAATCTGCCTTTTTTAGGCACAGAAATGTAATTAAAAGAAATRTAGTAGATCAACTTTTTTGTGAGAAAGTATTTGTATCGGAAAACATTAATGAAAACTTTCAAGAATATTTTTGAAAAAAAGTTTATTGGATATTTATTGCTCTTCTTCACCACCTCTGAGGTTGCAACGTATGCGCGCTACCGATCTTTTTGGGTGTTCGGTTCCCCAGGAGGCCTATTTTCACCCTTTTTATATATAGTTTTAAATCAATCTACTTTTTATAAAAGTATGACTAGACAAAAATTAATAAAATCTAAATCACCCACAGCGAAATACTTATTAAAAACCCTATCAAAGGAATAGTGGTGGAAAGAAGGGTCCTATACCTGGTACACGAAAACACTTAAAAAACAAGAAAAAAATATTGATAATAAGCGTACAAACCTAATCGCTAAAATTCATATCAATTTAACTATGGAAATGCGGCCTTCGACAGATAAAATTTTTGACAAATACAAAATAATTCAGACTGACAGACATATATACATATAAATTCCGACACATGTAGACAGACAAACGGGCGTGATTACTATTTATGTGTAACACACAAGAACTTTACGTTTTTGAAATCACTTTGTTTTACTTTTTTATTAAAAACGTTTACTAGGAAATATGTTCTGATTCTAATAAATAGTCATTTTATCATATCAGAATTACAATTTTCCAACAATAGTACGGTTTTACGTTAACCATTTTTTCAAATAATATTTGGGACAACCCGATTTTATGGCAAGTAGAATCAAAATGTTGTGTATAAATATCTTCGAATTTTGATAGAAAATCTATAAATTCAAGGGGTGGTTTTACTATTTGGCAATTACTATATTGCTTTTCTGAAGTGAAGAAAAAATCTTCTTCAGTAATACCACCATCAAAAATTTGCAAGGGCACTAATCAATTATGTTGTTTAAAATATTAAATAATACCGCAAAAATACATAAAAGCATTTTTATGCAGAAAGCTGCTTTCATCTACGTCCGCATTTACCTCGATTTGTATATTTTGAAATAAGGTAGAATTGGTAGGTCTTGGTAAACTTTGAAAAGTTTGAAAAGTTTGCCAAGRGGTATTTTAAACCAAAGCGTCGTTGCAGGCGCTTTTAAGTTAGCTATTAGAAAATGACTCACACTAGTCAACTGGCAAGAGTTCGCAGTTCCCTTTACCTACACAACGAATATATCCTATGCCCCAGGCTTGTCTGAAAAGATATGAGAAACGCTGCGGAGTTATTCTCACAACAAATACATAGTTTTTACACAAATATTATATAAATAATTTTTTTTATAAAATTGGAAAAGTTTAATAATATATTGATACAATAATTAATATTTTGGACAAAACTGATTAAATTTAATATTTAGGTATTTAAATAATCGAAAAATATTTGAATATTTTATAAAAATATTGTTAAAGTTATAAATTTTAAAACCTAACACAGCAACACACTGTATCAGATTTGAGGCATTTGAACGTTTTAGTAGTAGAATATTTGGTGGCAACCCTTACCAAGTGCCTAATTTGTAGTAGATTTTTGCGTATGTGAAAAATGAAGGATTGAGTACGTATAGGTTTATACAATGCAACTAACCTTTAGTTTCATAAACCTTAGCATATCGACCCTACACATAATTTCATAACATTCTCATAGATGACCCTATAAATGCTTAAAGAATAACAAAAAAACCGACGGGCTGAAAGGCTCCGAAAGTGATGGCCAGCAACTATTGGTGTATTCTTTTTAAATAATTTTGCTAGATCTTTTTGCTTGTCGAGAATATTTCGAATACTTGATTCCATAATTTCTCGGTCATCAGTATTCATAATTCCAAATAATATAGGGTAAATTTAACAAACGAATTCGTTTTTTTTATTTTGTTCTTTCACGAACAATTCGTTATTTGTTTCAAGATTATTACAATAACTCGTAATGTACTATTAAATTCCATTACACACTAATCGGATCCAAATATATTGCTGTATTAGTTGCCAGCTCCTGATTTAGCTGTATCATTAATGTATAATCATTAAGCTTGTGTTGCTAGCATGAGAACGTTATACTATATTCCCACCAACATTTATAAGTGATTCGATTACATTTAAAATATTCACTAATCTAACTCTTTGTAGTACCTAAATAAGCTGTAATAAGGTAAGGATTTCCAATGCTGACAAGTAGATGGTGCTAAATCAGAGTTGCGCATAGGGTTTTCGCGTAGATGAGATTAATACTATGTTCAGACCGAAAATTTAAAAGATTACATTTAAACATTTCATAACCCTAAAGTGTTCTTACTGCCGTTGGTGATTTATAAATCAGATGTTTTTGACACTTCAGCCATAAACATCAAAGTATTTATTAAAGGAAAACATTGTAATGTCGTACGTTGTCATAAAAATTGTCTTCTTTTTTTTTTTTAAATTATCTCCGCTCAATGGAAATAATTTGGGAATTGTTTGATTCTAACCGGGTAGCACTGAAACGTTTGCTGTATGAACAGGTAGCACTAAAAATGTGTAATCAATATAGAGCAAATTCAACAAGGTCTATTTGGATAATGGCAAGTATATAAATATTGGTATTATAACTTCGTTTAATTATAATGTGTATATAATTCAGGCTCGTAGCCAAACGTTTTGGGAAATCGACTGCCAGGTGAATTCAGATGCATTTTTTAAAAACAACTTCCGAATGAAGTGTAATTCTTTCATTAAATTGTGTATTATGGTGAAAGGTTTGGAGGAGAAAAACACTAACTACCGCAAAGTAATTCAATTAGAGAAACGCATAGCTATTGCTTTATATGCTCTTGGCTCTTCTGCAGAATACCGAACAATTGGAAATATGTTCGGAATTGGTAAAAGCACTGTCTGCTCTATTCTAATTGATTTCTGTCAAGAAGTCTGGTGTTGTTTGTGGCCTTTGTATTTGAAGAAATTCCCAATAAACGAAATTCGATTGCGCGAGTATTTAAATGGTTTTGAGTCATTGGGTTTCCCTCAAGTGTTAGGAGCAATAGGTAATAAGTTAAATTTTTTACATTGGGGTTTTTATACATTTTTAAGTTTTAGATGGTTGTCATATAGAAGTTCGCCCAGCTGCAGAAGATGCTGTTGACTACTACAACTACAAAGGCTGGTATTCCACAGTTCTTTTGGCTTTAGTAGATGCAACGTAAGCTTTTTCATGAAGCTCGTTTAAACACGTAATGTATTTCTTTAATGTTATAGATGTAGCTTTATATACATCAACGTTGGTAGTCCAGGCCGTTGTAATGACTTTTCAATATTTGAGAGATCATCTTTAAAAAGCGAGTTGACACAATCTACTATATTTAAAGACATAAGTAGACAAATGTCGTCAGTTAATGTTCCAGTCGTTTTGTTGGGCAACTCTGCTTTCAAATTTGACGAACATTTGATGAAACCATACCCATTTTGTGTAAACCAACCTTTGCATAAAAAAAAATTCAACTATGTACACTCGAAATGCCGAAAAGTGGTGGATAATGCTTTCGGTCATTTAAAGGGTAGGTTTAGACGGGTTGAAAAAGGCTTGGATAACCACATGGTCAACACGAAAATTGTCATAAAAGCGTGCTGCGTTTTGCACAATTTTTTAAATGAGGAAAATGATGAATTAATGAAAAGTGGATTGCAGCACAACAAATCGAAAACGAATCTCGGCAGTTGCCAGAAGACGTCTCTAACATTTGTGGAAATGTCAACCCAAGAGCAGAGGAAATAAGACAAGCGTTCGTTTCGTATTTCGGTGAGTTATTATTAAACTTTTAAATATTATTAAATCTCAATCGATCCATACTTACATATCTCATAACTCAATTCCAGTACAAAAAAACAGAYATTTTTATATTTTATATATGTTACATATATATTTTCATTTTGTTTAACATCTGTCTCTTATACACATCTAGATGTGTATAAGAGACAGGTTACCAGAAGACGTCTCTAATATTTGTGGAAATGTCAACCCAAGAGCAGAGGAAATAAGACAAGCGTTCGTTTCGTATTTCGGTGAGTTATTATTCTGTAGGAGAGAAAGGCGCTTTTCATTGTCTTCCTTCATCGCCTCAGTCGCCTTTAATAAGTCATCTTTAATTTCCTCCATTATTGTTTTTGCTTTTTTCTTTTTGGCAGAATCGCTTGACGATGGCCGAGCGCAACCATGCGACGTAGAAGGTCCATCGCCTGAGCTTGGGAGCGGCGACTCTCCTTCTACATCGGCCTCAACATAAATTGGATCAATGTCAACTGAAAATAGAAGAAACAAATAAAAGTGTAAAGAAACATTCCATAAACGTTTTTTATTTTGTTATGAATATTGGAATCTACTCCAATGCGCTTAAAAGTTACCATCAATGCTATCCTCCACAAGTTCGGCGGAACAAAAGCTTTTAATGCCGCCTAGCGCTTAGTGGACCACCTCATAATATTTCCACCGACTGGGGCAGCTACACGATGGGTTAATTTTCTGCTTTTCTTGTCTAAAAATAAATAAAAAAATTATGTTATATGTTTACCTCATAATTTATTACTTACCTGTATTTGTTTGCAAAATTGTGCAATTTTATTTTGATTTCAGTAGACGTATATTCATGTCCAGCCAAAAGCATAGTAGCAGACATTTCCTCATAAATATGGCATTTTTAATTGCCATGCCCCTATTAGGTCGGCCTCGGCAGTCTCACTCCACATTACTCTCTTTTTTTTTGGGGGTTTTTTCCATATTTTATTTATTTTGTAATTTGATTTAAAAACAACGTCGATTTTTGGTTTTATTTTTTATCTTCTTTGTCTGTTAGTTTTAAATTCTGACAGTTTATAGTGTCAAAATCAGATGCGATTAAACAAATTTGACCAACAGATGACGCAAAATCAGAATCGCACAGACAGATTTAGCGTGGATGAGTTTCAAATCATTCTGATGAAGTGATTTTGAACTGTCATTTTTGTATGGCGAAATCTTGAAAAAATTTTAAGATTAGTGGGATAATCCGTTCAACAGCCGAAATCGTGTGATTAAGTGTCGGTCTGAACATGGTATAAGACCTGTAAATTTTGCATGGCGAAATCATGTTAAATTTACTAACTAACACTAATCTTAGTGGAATAAATGTGATTATGTGTCGGTCTGAACATGTTATTAATAACCACATGAGCAATTTGCTTGTTTTACTCGACTGTTGTAAGTTGGCACTATTTTTTGTTACTCTTAAAGTCAATAAACCAGTAACCTGATTTGGCTCTACTGTTCTAGTGTTTGTTGCTTCCAGTGGGCACACTTTGTAAACAGGTCGTCGTTAAAGTATGCCATTTTGTATTTTTAAATTTACAACACTTATATTTCCATCACCTCTTGGATGATTTTTAATAATTTTACCTAATGACCACCTGGCTGGTTGAGTTTTTTCATTTTTAGTAATTACTATTTGCCCATCTGTTAAATTGACCTGTTTTGTTTTCCATTTCATTCGTTGTTGCAACATTTCAACAGATTCACTTTCCCATAGTTTCCAAATGCAACCAGTTGCTACAGAGTATTATAATTTTCTTTCCTTAACGGCATGSCCCCGCCCTCTGACAAGTTCGATGTACATATCGTCTAAATCACTTAAGCTACAACAACCAAATTTGCTGACTGTAAATTAATGTGAAAATGGATGAATTCGGAGTGTAACCCCACTTACTCCCCATATAAAGATAATGTTAAAAAGTACTAAAAGTGCGATAAATCAATAATTAAATACGCCACTAACATTAAATGTTTTCACATGGTTTGATAGAGTTCTATTGGAGCCGGTGTGAAAATTAGACGACGGGCATGGCACCGTGGTTAAATCGTATATCTCGAAACCCAAACAACCAATTTCGACAAAATTTAGTACGTGACATTCTTCTAACATTCGTATATCACAGTGTAAAAATGGAAAAAAATCGAACAACAAGCACAATTTTAAATTTCACTTGATTCGTTTAGTTTCCAATACACCAATGAAGAAAAAATTATATAACGGGATAAAACTTTGCACGACTAATATCTTTAATGTGTGCCATCTTATTACCAAAAATAGTTTAAATCCAATAAAACTTGTTCAAGCTTCTACGTACCGTATATTTAGACCCCGGTACCTGTAGTTGACTTTTGATGGACAATTTCAGTCAACGTGTGATATATCAAATTGAGATATATATTTCTCTTATAATAGAATGTCTGTATGCCAAAAATGGGAATGAATCACACCAATACTTCCTTAGCCCCAACATACTTAATATTAAGATTTTCGAACTTCTGGGTGACTTTGTACCGTACTATATGTGATTGGTTTTACACCTTAAAGTACTTGTTTGGCTTTTATTCTTGGAACTTGTTGAGTATAAAATGTTCGGTTATGCCCAAACTTAGCCCTTCCTTAATTGTTTGTATTAGTTTCCACCTATCTAATGAACCCAATTGTGGTACATTAATTGAATAAGGACAATCCATTATTGTAAACAGGACTTTTTGAATCTTGGCCCCAAAAGTGGCGCTATCTTCATATATGTCGACTGGTGCGTTAGAATCTGCTATCTTTATCGATTTCCCAGTGAGAATTTCATGACATTTTATTGCTTGGAAGTGAAATTATTGCGTTTTAAGTGTCAGTTTGTTTGTGTTATCGGTGCGAAAATGAGCTTCGGTCAACGAGCTAACAGTACATTTTGTTTTAAAATTGGAAAAACTTTTACCAAAACGTTTCAATTGAGGAAATAAGTTTATAGCGATGACGGCCATCGCGTAGCAGTGTGCACGAGTAGTTTCAATGTTTTCAAAGTTGTCGTGGGGACATAAATGACGAACAATTTGTGGGTCGATCAGAATCCGTGATCACCGGAAATTCCATCGAAACTGTGCGTGAATTCATCAAAAATCAGTCGAATTCATCATTGAAATTTATGGAAATTCAATTGAACATCTCCAAAACATCGATTTATCGTATTTGGACCGAACATTTGGTCTTACGAAAAGTGTATGCACGGTTTGTTCCTCACAAAATGACTGACATCAAGTATTTCAACAGCCAGAACATATGAAACCCGCTACACATCTGTGGTGACAATTCCGCCTGGTTGAACTCCAACAAAACATGCGTCAACAAGAAGATACGACATTTATAGATGTGCACAATACTTTAAGAGTTGGAAAGTTGACGTCGAAGCATCTTGAAGTTCTTATTGGAAAAGTGTCAATATAAACCACTGAAGAATTTTCGATTGAAAAAGCTTTAAGGACTAACCCTACTAACGACCAAGTTGTTATACATAATAAAAAAGTTCTGAAGAGCTTTCAAGTTTAAAGCACAAGATCAACTCACTGACACTACACGAAATTTAGGTAATGAGGACTTAAATACTGTAATACCGAATGATATCAATAAAACAGGAGGTCTTAAAAATATTCGTTGGAGCAAAACTGATGTTAAGGTTGTTACGAAGCTTTTTGCTGCCCCTGCTTCTTACAAGTATAAATTGCTGAGGTATACTCGCCGTGTCCAGGGTTCGTTACAATAAATTTGTAAATATTGGGGCCCTTCGTATTGTATGGGGCGAATCGTATTTTATTCTATAATATAATATAATATAATCTCTATTATATAATTCAAGTTATAAAATTGTCTCCCGCGTTGTAGTGTCGTCGCCCGAGGAAAGTGCTGTCCGGGTAACGGTTCAGTGTGGCCCGTTAGGGCAATACCGTTTCCCGCTCTGCTGCGCGCCTGGGTACTAGACGACTGGCTGCTTTGTACCACTAYGATCTCGCTTGGCTACTTCTGCCGGCGCTCGCGTAGGCTTCGCTGACGATATCCTGCGGCGTGCGTGAACACTCCCGTGCTACGACGACCACGCTCGACTATTTCTGVCGGYGCTCGTGTAGGCTTCAATGACGGTGTCCTGGCGGTGTTGACGCTCCTCYGCTATGACGACTSCGCCCGGCTATCTCTGCCGGCGCTCCTGTATGCTTTGATCACTATGTCCTGGCATATACGTTGACCCCGGCGTGCTACGACGACTACGCCTGGCTACTTCTGCCGGCGCTCGTGTAGGCTTCAATGACGCTGTTCACGTTGACACTCGCGTGTTACTCTGGTGGTGTCCCGTCCAACCACCTTTGCCGCGTAAAGAT